TATTTTTTAAATTACTGAATCCTGCTGTCCTTCAAGTTCAGGGATAGCAAGGTCGTACAGGAGACACAAATTCCATGGAGAAGTTTGTCAAGTTGATTGTAGAACTTGTAATTTCTTCTTTTGCTCCCCATTGGCACTTGACCTGCAGAGTTTAATAATCAATAGCAGTGAGAGAATTTTCCTGGAGAAACATTTGGAGGGCAGGGCATTGTAGTGGTTGGAATCTGGGCTGGGAATTTAATTTGATGAATTCACCCAGGCAAACTATTCAACTGTGGAGTGACTCAGCTTCCCTATTTTGGAGCAGAGTTACCAGTAAGACGTTAAATCTAGATGTTATTAATGGGAAATCAAGTTACATTGCTGAAGGTATAAAAGAAATGGTTCATATCCTGCTTTTAATATTACCATTTTCTCACTTCCAGTAACTTGTGAGGCCATAAAAACAGCCTCGATTACAACCGAAATCAAATTGATAAAGGACAAAGTGGTGCTTATAGAAAATAAGAATTCTGGAATGTGCTGATCCAAGGCAAACAGGAAAAATGGTCCATTCAGGATCTCTCAGGAGCACAAGATCCTCAGAGATCACTGTGGAGGTCTGACCCTCTGCCATCCCAGTGCCTGCAGACAGAGGGAAGGGAATGAGGTGTTTTCTGCAACACATTGAAGCATCAGTTGGAGTTGAAATTTGAAATGAGTTAAAATAAATTAATTTTAACTGAGAGGAACTCTTTGGGAGTGCGAAATAAATCAATGAATTGAATTGGTGCAGCCGTGTGGATAAAAGTGTTTTGTCCCATGAGGATTCCTGAGGTTTATCAGAGGTGTTCAGAATACCCAGTCCTTGCAGTAACTCTTGTCTTGCAGTCAGTACAAGGAATCTGTTCTTTGGGCTTTGAAATATTTACAAATACATAACCAGGCAGTAACCAAGCTCAGCACTCTGTTGAAAGAGTGTGTTTTAGGGTCTGTGGATATTTATGCACATGTGGAAAAAGAAATCCATATGATAAAGGATGCTGGGCAGTCTGGAGTACAGAGGAAACTGGGTATGAAACCATGAGTTCCATTTCAGACTTGGTTTTGAGGCTCATCCTGATGCAATAACCGAGTGTTCAGGGTTGTACGGACTCAATAATTCTTCAAAGTCGTTTAATACAGCAAAATATCATGTGCAATAAGTCAAACCTCCCCAATGTCTTTGTTAGTGGTGAAGAGATCCGACCAGGGACGGATTTCTGCCCGCCAGACAAAGACTTGACAGCATTTGTGGTGAAATAAGCTGCTCTGTTTGCAGACTGGAGCAAAAATCCTTTCTGTACAGCTGGTGAGTTTTTGTTTTTGCAGTCAAAACAGATGCACTGGCTGGGGCAGCCATTGGGAATGGTTGGCTGTAACCCGTGCTGGAGTCATTAGTGGTAAATTCTGTTAATAGTAAACTGTTTGCTATTTAAAGAGCCTGATTCCAGGCCAGCTTTCCAAGGAAAAAGTTACCTGCTGTTATAGCTTTGATGAAGTGAAAGCTCAACCCAAAACAATAATAAAAAAATCCAGCACTCCCCCTGCTCCTTCTGCTCTGGGGCCATTAAAACCTGGAGAAAACGTAAAAAAGAGCACGTGCACACTTCTTTACAGTTCTGAGGGAGCCCTAAATTTGTGCCAGTGAAATGCTCAGAGAATGTGGGTCTTTGTGGCTGTTAGGCACATTCATTCTTCTGGAAGCACTGGCTGTAAATCCAATTTTATAGATTAAAGACTTGTAGCATAATGTAGGCACCTGTCAGTTTATGGCAGCCTAAAAATATCTGCCTGCCCATAACATGTTTTTCAGCAACTTGGAGCATATGTATGGTTTTTGATAACTTTTAGCTATTTTTTTCCAGTCCTTGTCTGTCACCTCAGCTTGTTGTGCTGGCTCTACTAGGAATAATAAAGGACATGCTGGATCAGATGCAGTGTGGGCTGGCCATTAGCAGTTAATGATAAAGTCAAATCTGTCTCCTGTGGGAAGGAGAGTTAGAAAGCAGAACTATCACAGCTCTGAGCTGCCAGGGTGGGCTGTGCCCCTGCTAACGAGCTGGGGGTGATTACAGAGACCATTCTGACTGGGAAACACTCAAGGATTCTGTTTTGTCCAGGATTAAATGAGGAGGAGGCTTTGTGGTGTCAGGGTAAACGAGCTCTCCGAGCATGAGGATTTGGGGTCTTGATTTGGGAGCTCAGACTTGGTCAGGAACCTCAGTGTGGATTTCCAGGTGAAGCCTTTCCTCCAGGACATGTCTGGGAGCACAGCAGGGTCACCCCTGAGTCTTTGCTGGAGGATTGGTGTCCTATTAATGCTCTGGACGAGGTGTTGGAGCTTGAGTGGATCAGAGAATCATTGGATCACTGAATCACTGAGCACTGGAATGGATCCCAAAGCTCATCCAGTGCCACCCCTGCCATGGCAGGGACACCTTCCACCATCCCAGGCTGCTCCAAACCCCAGTGTCCAACCTGGCCTTGGACACTGCCAGGGATCCAGGGGCAGCCACAGCTTCTCTGGGCCTCCCCACCCTCCCAGCCAGAAATTCCTTCCTAATATCCAACCTAAATCTACTCTCTTTCAGAGAGAAACCAAACAAGGACCTCTTGAATCCCTTTGGCCCTTTCCAGGGTAAGGACAAACTTGTGAGTTGCTCTGAAACAAATGGAGTAAAAACCAATTCCAGATAAGATTTAAGAATCTCAGCACCCCAAACCTGAATCTGATGCCCAGAGCTGGAAATTTGCTTTGTGAATCTCTGTTTTCCCTTCCACCTTCCCTAAGGACATTGAGATTTCTGTCCTTTCCTTAAATATGATTGAAAATGGCCAAAGGTTCAAAAACATCCTTGGTGGAGAGGGAGAGCAGAGGCACAGCCTGGTTCCTGCTCTATCTCCATGAGCCCTGTTTCTTTGGGAAAGCTGCTGGAAAGCCATGATGTTGATGTTGGGATGGGGTTGGCTCAGACTGGAAGTGCTGACTCACCCCCAGAGTGTTCAGGAACTTTGGAGGGAACTCCAGCAGGGTTTGCAGATAACACAGTTAGGAGTTTGAAAGTTGGACACGGGAGGGAAGAAACAGGAAGGAAATCTGAGCTCTTGTAGGTCAATTTTTTGGTTACATTGGCATTAAGCCAAGAACAGGAGGAGAAAAATTTTGCAACAAGAATCTGACCTTTTTTTTTTTAATTTTATTTTTTTTTCCTCCCTGGCTTGCCACTTTCTATTTATGGGAACCCAAAATGACCTGGCTTCCTGGACTGGAAGCAGTAGCAACATGTCCTTGATGTCAGTCTGACTTCCACATTTCAAGCCAGTCTCTGCTACATATTTAGAACACTTTTTAGTAGGTGCAGTAGTTTGAGAGGTGGTGGGACCTGAGACTGCATCCTGTGACATATGAAGCACCAGGAGATGCTAATAAAATAGAATTTCAGGATGGTTTGGGTTGGAAGGGACCTTAAAGCTCATTTTGTCCCATCCCCTGCCATGGGCAGAGACACCTTCCACTATCCCAGGGTGCTCCAAGCTCCATCCAACCTGGCCTTGGACACTTCCAGGGATCCAGGGGCAGCCACAGCTTCTCTGGCCACCCTGTGCCAGGGCCTCACCACCCTCACAAGGAGGAATTTCTTCCCAACATCCAGTCTAAAGCTACTCCCTCTCAGTTTGAAATCAGTGCTGGTGTTAGGACTGCCTCTTCCACCCCCAGGAAATCAACATTTGGTGCTTCCCTCCCCCTCAGCCTTTTATAAATATTGTCACTCGTTCATTTCCCAACAATGCCTCCAGGAAGCATAAGGCAGAAATGGTCAGCATGACAGAGATTAAGCAGAGACACCAACAGTCCCACTGTTACAGTTTTTCTCCCTTGCTTGGCTCTTGTAATAAATTTAATCTGTCCCCCAGACAGCTCAGAATCTATTTTTTTTTTTCCCCCTGGTTCTTACCTTTGCTGGGCTTGTATGAGCCAGGACCAAGGTGCTGAGCCAGGAGGTGACACTTGGCACCCATTAAATCTGGGAGAAGGGTCCCCAGTGACTGCAGCAGAGCCTTGCCAATGGGAATTGCTCAGTCACTTCATTACTGGGCAGAGCAGGAGTCTGAGGATGTGTTAACAAAGCTGGGGAATTAAATATTTGCTCTATTTCTGAAATCTGGCGTTTAGGAGAAATCATAGAATCATGGAATCATGGAATCTGAGAATGCCAGGCTGGCTTGGGTTGGAAGGGACTAAAGCTCACCTCATCCCACCCTGCCTCGGGCAGGGACACTTTCCCTGCTCCAGCTTGCCCAGAATGGCACTTGGAATTTTATTTTGTCTACCAATTTTTTCCTCAGTCTTTTCTCCTTCAAGGCCTTGAAAACTGGACTTTAATTTTCGGTGTTTGGGCAAAAGGAGCACCATTACAGACAGCACTCAATAGTTCTTAAATAGCTCACTACTTCAAATCCTCTTTGATCAGCAGAACCAGTAGGAAAAGTGTTCCCTGTTCCTTTTCCTCATTTTTATATAATACTGGGACCACAGGGTTCCTGTTTTTCTTGCAGAGACTTTTACCAGGTTCACTTTGCTTGCCTTGAGAAGCTTTTTGCTTCTTCTTCTTCTTCTTCTGAGTGTCTCTGAAAGGAAAATTTCAGTAACTTTCTTGCAAGTTTAATCAACTCCCCCAGGAGAGAAAAATTCCACTTGGGAGCAGCCTCTAAAAATCATCAGTGATCTCTCACCTGGATTTTCCAAAATCTTCTTTCTCAGAAGTAAACTTTATTCCACCCCACATCTTTTTGCTCCTGTCTTCTGTGTGTCTATAGCCTGCTGGATGATGAAGGGAAGAATTAGGATTCATTGCTGTATTTTTTCCTGTTCACACAAATAAAATACACCCAGGCATGGGATTATTTATTCATAGGTGTGGGGAACTGGTATAAGGACTTCAAACAAAATTAACATTTAAAAAATGCATGAAAAGTGATTGCAATATTTAGTCCTGCTTTAGACATGGAGCTTTAGTTTTTCTTCCTCTGAACTTTTTGAAAGAATTCTGTTTCTAAACTCAAGCACCCATAGATTTCAGAGGATAATTGGGTATTAAATTGAAATAAATTACCTCCATTTCTGTGAAGCCCCCACCAGTGCTGAATATTTGACACTTTTGTGAGCACTGCAAAATCTGGCATAAGTGAGGAAGTTTATAAATTCTTTGTGATATTTTTGGTTATCTAAGAGAACTTTACAGGCAGAGAACTTACTCTGAATTTTGATTTCTCTATGCCACATCAGAGCTCCTGGGTCAGCAGGCAGGGTAAAACACAACTTCATACTTGGAAGATTTTGGAGCCTTCTGCCTTTTACTGATTTTGGAGCCTTCTGCCTTTTATTTCTGAACATACCAGCAGAAGGAATAAATTTGGGGAAGGGATTTGAGCAGAGCTGGGGCTGAGCTCTGAGTTGATGCTGTTCAGTTCTCTGCAGTGAGCCAGACCTAAGAGCACTTCTTTGCTTCTCTCCATTTTTCAGTTCAGAGATGAAGCCATTTGAAGGAGAAAGGACTCAAACACTCTCCCAGACACTCTTTTTTTCAACTGGGCCCAGCTGGGAGGACCTGCTTGGGAAGTGGAACTCAGGCTCAAATACCTGTTTTAGTTCCAGGCCTGTCTGGGTCAAAGAGGGGAAGGAAGAGTTTTCCTTCTGCTGCTCCATGCACAGCCAGCTGGAAATATTGTATTGCAAGGTTTCCTTTAATTTAAATAGTGTGGACAGACTAATTTGTTTTACCTGAGAGTTGTATGAACAGGTTGTATGTAGTTTACCTGGGTGCTTGTGATGAAGGTTACAGTTTTGTTTTTTTGGTTTTTTTAGAACAGGAGATTCCAAAGATCTCCAGAAAAAGGCATTAATTTTTCCAACTTTTGCCTGACACAGGAAATAAGGGATAAGGTAATAATGGGTTAGAGGTGCCAGGGGGTGTACAGGTGATTTCTTTGATGGAGAATATTTTCAGATTAGGGATTCTGCAGAGATGATGGTAAAAGGGGGCAGGAAACAAAGGATATTGGAATAAGGGTTTAAAAGAAAGAGAAGTCAAGGTGCTCTTGCATTTGGCCTTCTCTGAGTATTTATTATTTCTCAGTTCTTATCTTCCATGTGCCTGTGTAAAGGTGGGAAAGGGGAAAGTGAGGGAAAAGAATGGCTGTTTTTTCCTCCTGGCCAGAGGAAGCTTTGGCCCAGAACAGAGCCAGGGCAGTGGGTTGGAGGGTGCTGATGGCAGCACCATCAGGGGACTCCTCTCTGGCTGGGGGCAGGAAGTTCCTCACCCACCCCTGCTGGATGCCAGCGCTGCTCCTTTGTTCCCAGCTGAGGAATTTGCTGCCTGTACCACAGGCACAATGTCTGGGATAAAATGCAGCTTCTGTGGGTGGAGAGGAATGTTTCAAAGGGCTGAGCTGAGCCTTCTTCTGGCTGGGGAGTGGGGAAGGGAGGAGGCTGTGCCAGGCTTGTGCTGGTGTCATGGTCTCTCTGTGTCTGCTGGCTTGGAAGGACCATGGTGGGGCTGGTAGGTGCTCCAGATGAGCCAGATGTGCTTGAGATCATGTTAAATTAAAGCCTCTGGATTTTTTTAATGATCTCACGTTTTTTATATCATGGATCATATTTGTTGGATGGTTGGTTCAATGTAAGCAACAGGAATGTTCTCAATGGAAGAGGAGGCTCTGGGAAGAGCTCATTGAAGCCTCTCAGCTCTTCAAGGGGGCCTGCAGAGAAGAGAAAGGGGACAGACTTTTAGCTTCTGTTAAAGGCCACAGGACAAGGGTTAACGGATTCAAACTGAAGGATTTAGGTTGATTCAGATTAGGTATCAAGAAGGAGTTTTTTACCATGAGGGCAGTGAGGCCCTGGCACAGGGTGCTCAGAGAAGCTGTGGATCCCTGGAAATATCCAAGGCCAGGCTGGACAGGGCTTGGAGCAACCTGGGATAGTGGAAGGTGCCCCTTACTATAGCAGGGAAGCTTGTCTAGATCACTTTTGGAGGTCCTGTCCCATCCAATCTACGATTCTGTGAGTCATTCCTCGATTTTATTCTGCCTCTGAAGCTGGATCAGCATTAATGCTGCTGGATTAGGGATATTCTCAAAGCCTTGGAGCCCACCCCTGTTACAGAGGAGAGGCCTCCCTTGTGCCTTTGTGAGCCCTGGTGGGGCTGACACTGTGTCTGGTGATGGTGACAATGCCCTGAGGCCTGATCCAGCTGGAAGTGACACTGCTGGCAGGTTCTGTGCTCTGCTCTGCTCTCGTTCAGGGCTGTCAGCTGGAGACACCCAGAGCTGTCCATTCTTTGCAAGCCATGTTCTGAAAGCTCAAGGTCTCCAAGTCCTTGAGCTGCTGGCTGGAAACTCCCAGAGAAGCTTCCAGGAGCTGCTTCTCCCATCTGCTCCTGTGAAGGGAAATGTGACAATTCACTCTGGGGACAGCCCTGACTTCCCTCATTAGCTCCACATTAGTTTGATGCTGCTCATTTTCCTCGTGTGGGAGCTGCTGGAATATAAGTGGGATGAACGATTAGTTCAGGTGATGGAAGCTGCTCCTTGGGATGAGCACCCTGCACCTGTGCCCTACAGGTTGTTCCTGCTGTTGGTTTGGCATCCCATGATCCCATTTGTTCTGGTGAAATCCTGAGTGACTCAGGGCTGGGCTCCCTTCTTGCTTTGTTATTTTCCCGTGTTTGCTCTGTGCTGCCACAGGAATGATCAATAGAAGCCATGAACTGGAGCCAGCAGGACTTGTAGGAGCCCGTCTGGAATGAGTTCCCACCGCTGTTCCTGACATTCCTGCCACCTGAACAGGTTCACTGGGCACTTCTGGAAGGGATTGGTTCAGAGCTGGTGAATGGCATTTCATCACGTGGTGGAGATCCAGAATTCCTGCTGTTCCCAATGGAATCATGGCACCAAATGGCTGCCATTCCTTGGTAAAATCTTCCTGAGGAGATAATCCTTCCTGCTTGGCTTTAGCAGCTTCACAGAAATGTCCAACCCACTGAATAAATGCAAAACTTCACTTTTTGTATGCATTCTAATGCAGTTTCATTTTTGCCTACTTTAGAAAACCACTAATATACTTTTAAAGTCTTCAAAAGGGCAGTTCCCTTATTTTTAAATAAGATTCTGCTTGATTCCCCCCCAAATCATGGGGTACCCACCACGTGTCACTGCAGAAGCCACGAGCAGAGAGCTCCTCTCATCAGTGCACTGTGGCTGGGCATGAAATGCTCTGGTTGGGATTTTCTGAGCCAAATGTAAATGTGCTTGATGAGACACAAGGGGACGGGGCTGGGGCTGGGAAGAAATGGCTTTTAGCAGCAGATGCAGACAAAAGGATTGGATTTCAGTCCACAGAAAGTCAAAGACAAAAAGAAATAGAGACTGGAGTCCCAAATGGAGGGAGGAGGTGTCAGAATTTGGAAGGCTGAACAGCTGTAGCCTGTTTATGTATTTTCATCCATTGTTAGAGAGTTGGAAATTACACAAAAAGCTAAGGGCATTTAAATTCTGTTTTCTTAGAAAAGATCTGCAGTTGACCAAGACAGGCTACAAAAAGAAATGCAAAATTTATCAAGAGTTTTCAACTTATATGGAATGAACCTAAAATACGTTGAAAGATTCTTCTGAGTGGGTGCTGTAGGGAAAACACTCGAAATCACAGAAAGGAAGTGAAATGATTGGGAGATCTCCTGGTATCAGAAATCTGATGAGTGTCTGGAACCTGCTCATCCAAAGCTCATAACGTAGAGCTGAGGATATTCCTGCTATGAAAACTCTTTCCTGGCTACCTAGAGAAGCATTTTTTCTCCAAGTGTTGAAAAGTGGAATGTTTCTGACCTTTAACAATGATGATATTTGATTCTGGTGAAAAAAGGAAGCAAGAAGTAATTATGAAATATTTTTATTGGCTCCAGCAGCAGCTCTGCAGTGCAGATGGTTTAAATTACCTACCTCGAGGTTGGAGTGTAAGGCTCAGATCCATCTCCACGGTTTTAATATTTAAAGCAAGGTACTAACTTGCTGGCCTAGATCTTGAAAGCAGCTTAATTGAGCCTTTAAAAGCTGATAGTTCTCTCTTGTTGTACACGAGTCAACAATCACGTTTCCCTCTCCCATTCCCTGGCAGTGCTTTACTCACACTCAGACAATGACAGGTTGAAGGGAAGGGATTTTGTTCCCCACCTTTCAGCAGAACATGGATCCTGATGGAAGCACTTGGACTCCACTGCCTTGTTTGCTTGGAGATTGAAACCAAATGGGGGATCCCAGCCTGGTTTGGTTGGAAGGGACCTTAAAGTCATCCTGTTCCACCCCTGCCATGGCAGGGACACCTCCCACTGTCCCAGGCTGCTCCAGCCTGGCCTTGGACACTGCCAGGGATCCAGGGGCAGCCACAGCT